TCAATGATGTGTTGACTCTGGTCATTGTATCACAGTGTCCTTATTCAAAGTCCTTCAGTCCAGTCTTATTGTCCATGCACATCAGGGTCCCCGAAGATCCAACCACCCTCACAGTGGCCTTCCCCCAACATCGTTCTTGAAATAAAGAAAAGAAAACCACCAACCAGTATCTTTTGCAAAAACAAAAGATGCAAATTGAAACATCAAATACAGATTAACACCATATAAGTAAATGTGAAATTCACAGTATCATACTTTCACATTATTCCAAGTATAAGTCACATTTTTCCCATTCCCCCTGCAATCATCCCACTCTATAGTAAGAGACCACTAAAGACCAAAATAGTAACAGAAATCAATGTTAAGACTATAATAAGAGTTGATATTCAAAATGGATATTTCTCCATCAGTTCACCTTCTATCACCACTTCTTCGTCATCATCTGTGTCAGTCCTATGTAGTAATGCATCTGAACTGATCTCCAGCATCACAACGCCAAACATCTCAATATCATAGCCTCGCAAAGGTCAACAACAACGTACAGAAACAGAACATCACACTCACAGATAAGAACTGCTACCATAATCTGACCCAATACTGCTCCCAATGGTCCTAATTCCTCCTGCAACCAAGCATTCGCAGACTATCCAGCTCCTTCCGATGGGCCAAACGCATCCCATGTATGCTTCAATGCATCTATGACACTAGTCATACTGTCAGAACTATCAGCAATCAAAGTATAACAGGCATCCCCAGTTAAGTTCAAAGCCACACATAGGCCCCCTTGTTTGGCCAAAAGATAATCAAGAGCCATGTCATGTTTCAGCAACGTCAGTCTGTGACTCTTTTGAGTATTTGACAAGTATTCAAAACCTCTTATAGTCTCATTTGCAAAACCCTGTAGGGTGTAGGTAATATTTTCAATGTGATCTGCCAAAAATGTCACACCATACCATGGAAATAATCCTATACCCCACTTCTCTCCTAGACTTATCTTCCAATAATAGGACTCCAGATTATGTAATTGTGCCAGTTCCCTTTTCTTCCTACTTCCAGAAATAGCATCAGATTGAACCTCATCAGATACTTTTCCTTCTGGACAGTAAAAACCTCATATGGCAGCTTCAACGTTCCACCCATACGGTAGAAATATATATGCCTTATTACCACAAACCCCACAGATTTCACTTCCAACGGATCCGGGATCGCTGTTATCATATTTTCATGCTGATCAAGTAAATTCACATATGGTAACTTCCCCAACCAAGAACAATTATGTTTAGATCTAAACAGATGCACTGACAGAGACATCACCTTATCTTCTGCTGATTGCTGCTGATATAACAGCCACTATAATGCATAAGATTGACATTTAGCACTTAATGGTTCTGATATCGTCTCCAAAATTGAAGGCCATGTACCTGGTGTTGGAACTTCCACCACACATGGACAATTCAGCTTCCTAACCGATCTTACAGAATGAGTTAACTGCTGGAACCATAAGTTCCTACCAGCCCATGGGTCTGCGATTTGTAACACCTAGGAATCAAATCCATATGCCTTCCACTACACAATAATAGTCAGTCATGTCTTCTGGTGTCCAGTCAAAGTAACACTCACCTTCTACATCTAAAATAGTCCTCTGAGCTGTCACAGATGAATCTGCATCATGCACTTCCACCATCTGTTCTCTAGGTTCAAAAATCTCATTATTATTATTCACACTAAGCTCTATCCTTAACATAGGTTCCTGGGTTATATTTCCTACTTCTATAAAGTTCAAAAATGTCATATCAGGTGTCTGTGTCACTTTTACAAATTTCCTAGGTGACAAAGGTAGAAATTGTCACCATCCCTGTAGCAGCATTCATCCCCTTCAATGTCATAGCTAAAGTAATAGCCTGAATTGATGTATTAACATTCTTAGTTGTTCCGGAGCTAAAGTAGTAAGCTCATTGATGCAATATTCACCCTTGGAGTGGTTGCTGTGGTGAATCGTCCCTGAACTCTTGTAGCAACCATGAAAACTCCAGTAGAACTCAAATCTTCTATCATAACTACTACCTTATGAGTTATATAACCCTCTCTCCACTCATTGTCTTTTGGCTCTCTTGAGTCTTCAACATCTCCTCTCTTCTTTGCCTTCAGCAACTTACTCCTCTGTAATCTTTTTCCTAACCTCCCCCTTTGCAACATGAGCTGACCCCTGTGCCTCCTCAATCATCAGACCTCACTCCGTGTCAGCAATGATCTGCTGACTCCTCTCTCTCTCTCCTTCTCTATATACATACACTTTTCTCTGTTTTTCTCTCCTTCTGTCTTTCTGTCTCTCTCTCCTTCTCTCATCATTTTCTTTTCTCCCCCTCTTTCTGTTATTCTTCTCTTTTCTGTTTCTTCTTCTCTCTATCTTTTTATTTCTCCCTCTTTCTCCTCTCTAATTCTCACACACCCCACAGGTGGATAAAGGAAGAAACAGATCAGAATTAAGTATCAAATAAACCCACTAGATATTTTTAACAACACAAAAGCAATTCAGTATGATTCACGTACGTTATCTGCCAACACTTAGGTCATCAAATGTTTTCCTCCTTTAAACACCAAGTTATCATCAATAAAGAAATATCAGTTTATTTCACTCTAATAACACTTTAAATACTTCTTTACCCATGCACACAAAATATCCTCACTGGTCTCTCCACTCCTCTCCAAAATCATAAACGTCCTTCCTGGGGGCTCTTACACTTTAACCTACAAAGGTCCCCTCGAAAGAGGCTCATAAAGCTTATCAAAGTCCCCTCGAAAGAGGCTCATAAGTTTTATGTGAATTCATAAAGTCCTCTTTTCTGAGGCTCATAAGTTTTAACAAAATCAAAAAATGTCCTCTCAAAGAGGCTCATATGTTTTTACACATTATCATTTATACATTCCTAAAGCCAGCTGGAACACAGCCAAGACAAACAACACACACACACAGAAGTCTTTCAGCTTCGCACACACACAGTAAGGGAGGGGGGGCAATGTCCCTCACACAGAAACACTCAGCGAGCTCAAAAAATACAGAAGACAAAAAATAACATTTAATCCTATAGCATGCTTTTTTCTGCTGCTTCTTTTTCTCTTTTCCTTCTAAATTTATGCTGCCTTTATGAGGTGTGAATATTCAGTAAAAAGCCGCTTCAGATACTGTTCTTCAACTAGTGTTCGAGTGGGAGCTTTACAATTGAATTTTCTATTCCACACCTCCATTTCCTTTGAACTGACCTGAAATTCACCTAGTGATTTACCAGGATTTTAGGCCCGTCTAAAACCGCCTCCCAGAGGGCTTTGGTCCAAATCTGTGGCTCCTTTTCTCTTTTAACTCTTATCTTCTCTATTTTCTTTAACTTCTCTTATTTCTCTTTAACTCTTCTCTATTTTCTCGCCTCTTTTTCCCATTAATCTGGGATGGGTCGACCAGAAGGGTCAACCAGCCTGGGCTGTTACTTTTCACTTTTTCCCTTTTTTAATCTAATCTGACTATTTCTCTAAGCCAACTTTCACGCAGTGACTAATATACACGTGTTACTATTAAGAAGATAAGGGCCCAACCTTCATTAATCTCGCATGGTGTTATTTAGCTCACCTTATCATTACTGATTAGGCTATTCTACACTTTTACATCAACTTTCCTTTTCTCTATTATACTTCCCCTTTTTGCGGCGTGTACAACGCAATAAAACCCCAATTTAGCCCTAATGAACAAACCAGCGCTCACCTGAAATGCCGGCTAGGTGTGGGAGTAAGTGTGCTAAAGGTGTCGGCGACGCAGCCAGCCACAACACGTCCGAAGTTGGTGATGCCAAATTCTTGTCCGCAATCCTGTTCGTGACCCAAATTCTTGTGGTTTATAAAATAGCGATGATGTGAAGATGATGAAGGAGACTCCGCTGACGCCGTCATGCCTGTATAAGATGTTTATTACAAAGTAAAACAGCATCATATCAAGCACCATAAAGTACCTGAGAGGGGATCCGTGCCAATTCTAAAGTGTCCCCTCCGGAACAGAATATCCCAACTGCTTATATAGGGTACTTGTTGTTGAAAAAGAAGACAGAATATATGGTCCTTTTTAAAATGATCTCATCTGTTTGGAACTAAGAGAGGCCCACTCCCTATGGGGCCTTTGGACCAGGGGCCCCCAGCTTAAACATTCCAAACCTGCAAAAACAGAACACATGGAACTTCAGACATCAACTTATACTGAAAGTTAAGAGTGTTTTTGCCTTCTTCTATAAAGCCACCATTTTAAATATACCTCAACAATAATGTAGTTAATAATGAAATATAACAACTGATCAGCTGGATTTTAATACAGAGTTTGCTGGACAGAACAAACAGGTTACAGACAGTTAGAGAAGCAGCAGACAATCAGACTTACTGAGGAGAGAATCAGACTAACTTCTCAGAAGCTACAGAGCAGCAGATCTCAGACTTTAAACTAGCTTCACTTTTTGATCTAATTTGCAGTTTCAGTTTTAGAGCTCATTCATTTTTCATCTCAGACTGTAAAATATCAGACATGAAAACACGATCTGAAAGAGGAGAAAATTATTATTGTAAAGTGTTTAAAAATCTAATTGTAAATACAGCAGCAGCTGGAGTTCTTTAAAGGGCTCATATCCCACATTGTCTAGTATTTTATTTCCCCCCGAAGTCCACTTATAACATTTGTGTGGTTTTATATATAAAAAACAGTCAAAATTCATTTTTATAAGATAATTTTCCATCCTCTCTTTATCAATTAATGTGCCTCATTCAAAAAGCAGTGCAGGCTGAAACACTCCTTATAACTTCAGTGTTGACGGGCAGGGCGAAACTGCTGTTGGCTAAATAGACAGATATATGTTAATGTGTTTTTTGTGACATCACAACCACAGTGAACTCAAAACAGGCTGTATTATAGTTTCTATATATACTGTGTGAACTGCAGAGTGAACAGCACATTCTGAAACTTTAAACCTCTTGAAAATGATATTTACCCTGATGTGGGTCTTTAAAACTAAACAACAGCTTCAAGTCTTACTAAAGAAAATACTGATCTAATGTTTCGTCTTATATGTTTTCAGTATTTTAAAAGTTCTTATTTTGTCTCTGATCAGAGTCTCGAGTTGAGGAAGTCTATGTTCGTCAGGTGAGCATATTATTCTACATAAATCACACTTTTAAAAAAGATGGTTCTTCAAAGGTTCTTTAGTAAAGAATATGGTTCTGTATAGAACCATTAACAGTCGACAAACCTTTTGCAGGATTAAAGGTTTCTTTGCGTCATCAATGGTTCTTCACATTGATGGAGAATGTGTTGTTTATGGTTCTGTATAGAACCTTTTTAAAAGTTTTCCTCATAGCACCTAAAACGGTTCCTCTGTTGTACATAAGCTTGACATAACAGCTGGATGTAACAGTAAAAGAAGCTTTTTTCAAGCTGTATAGAACGATTTTCAAAAAGGTTCTAAATAGAACCAAGAACAGCGCGTTCTCCATCAATCTGAAGAATCTTTGATGATGCAGAGAAACCTTTAATCCTGTAAAGGGCTCTTTGAGTGTTCATGGTTCTATATAGAACCCCTTAAAGAACCATCTTTTTCAAATGTTTCCTTAATAATCTACTTTAATATGATTTTTAAATCTATGAATATAAACATTATTGTGTGTAAAAGCTGTTCAGGGCTGATTGTTGATAAAGTTTACATCTTCATTTCTGTTGATTCTCTTTCATGGTGTTGAGTTAAGTGTTGTTACAGTGTTGATGCTGATCAGTGTTCTGTAAGTGATCATGATCCTCAGAAGCTGCAGAGCTGAACTATTTTTAACTCATCTTTTCTGATGCTGCATTTCTGTGGATCTGTTACTCACTTCCTATGAGCTCATGACTGATGAATGATTTATTATGAAAACTAAAAGATGAAAAAGAGCTCTTATTCAGTTATTAATAAAATATTATTTATTAATAAATATTATTACATTATCAGCTCTGCTCATATTTCACACACTCGAATAGACAATTACAATTAATTAAGAATGAATTCATATATTAATTAAAATAAATGTATATTTATTATTATTTATTATTTGTTTTGGTAAAATTCAATTAATACATTTTCTGTATATACTGTTATTAATATCAGCTCTCAGTGATTCATACTGACACATCAACAGTGATTTAAACAGAGAAACAGTTACTGATCATATAACATACAGAATGACATCATGAATGAATCTTCACACTGTTTTATTCTCTTTTACAGAGAGACATAAACTGGACAGAAGAGGAGAGACTGAAAATGGAGGAATCTGCTCTGCTGACCGGTGAGGATGACCATGTTTATTTTTGTAAGCGTGTGTGTTTTTGAGGTTATGTTGGTATGATGTGTAGATCAGACTGCTGGTGAGTTTTATAGATTTATGAGGTTTTACAGCTTTTACTGAGGTTTTTCCATTAATACATCATTATATTGAGCAATTTATATTAAAGAGAAATGATACTGAACCGTCTGTGTGATTCATTTTAAAGAGAGATTAACTGTATCTCCTCTATATGAATCATTATACTGAATCAGTTCAAAGTCAGAGTTAAAACCCATTTCAGACATTTTACTGACTTGGAATTTAAACTAAACACCTTTTGCTTTAAGTGACACCATTAATTAATTAATTAGTTAAATAATACAAAAAAGTTTACTTAATTCTAGATAATATGCTTTTCATTAATGACCTTTCTTAATGTTACACGCTGATTTTCAGAATTTGGGAGGCATTTATTTCAAAACATTGGGTTCTGACTGCTCACTAGGGGTGGGAATCTCTAGGCACCTCATGATTTCAATTACGATTCAGAGGCTGTGATGCGATTATAAAACGATTATCGATGCATCTTTTTTTCTCTACAGGATTTCTATTTTCTCACTGTGTGAGGTACTTTTAAAGCAAAGTATCTGTAATGATCCATAATGAATTTACTTCCAATATCTTTTATTAATAAATCAAATGGAAGTGATGTGGTAAGTGAACTGGAAGGTTCTCATTCACTGCTTTTGTTTGGAGCACATGAGACGCTGCTGCCACTCATCAGTGATAAAACGTGCAGTTAGGGTGACATAAGATCCAGAGGCAGTGGATGTCCATGCAGCATATGTTACAGCTGTTCTACACGTTTTCTTTAATGATTTTATAACTTCGGTTTTGGTCTCGTTGTGGCGGGAGGGGGGTCGCTGTGTCAGTAAGACATCTTCGAGACAGTCTGCTGTATCTCAGCTCTAAAGTGTGCAACATTGTGCGAAAGCCCTGTTTCTCAACGATTGAGAACGAACGCAAATCCTTGGCAATAAAAGTTATGATAGAGTTTCTAATTAGATAGAGTTGGGTGGAAGCTTTGACATCGCTCGCTCAATGTTCCTCTGGTTGGCAGCGAGTACAACCGGTAGGAAAACAGGTGGAAACATGTAATATGGTTTCTCATGTTTGACGTTTCCAAAATATTTTACTTTAGTGTGACACAAATTGCATATAGTGTGACTCTTATTCTGGTCCCTTTTCCCCTGGCATGCAGACTGCAGGTCACTTGGCAACGCAGTCTTGCCTGGCTAGTAATGTTAGCTAATGTAAAGACAGAGATTTAAGACAAATATTTGGTGATGAACTGACTTATTCTCATTTATAAGCAATGCAGTTGGTTTCCTGGTACGATAAACCTGCAACGAGAGACTGTCAAACACTAAAAAGTTGCGAAGCTGAAGTCGCTTCTCTTTCGAATTTTCCCGTTCCACCTTAAATGGTGCCGCATTTACATTCTGGCGCCTCAGGCAGAATTTAAGGTGGAATGATAAAATTCAAACAAGAAGCTGGAGAATGAGAAGCGGCTTCAGCCTCATAAATCAGTCGAACGCTGAGAGACATTTTACAATAAACTGCTCTCCTTTTGAGATAAGGTTTTCTGGCGGAGATGGGAGGAAAGCGGCTAAAGCTAAAGCTTAAAGCAGAGCAAGAAGCAAGTCTGTGCTCTCGTTTACATTGTTTAGCCTAGACTAGGACATCAGCACATACTGAGACGTACTGGTTATTAAACATTGTGGCTCCCAGGGTGGTTTGATTTTTGTTGAAAGGACAAAATGGCTCTTCTTAACATTGGGATTGTGACTCCTGACCTAACCTGGCTTTTAATGTAGAGGGAGCCGGTCGGATTTCTCACTCATCCAGCTGTGTTTTTGTTATGTGCCGCCACAGACTGTCCGGGCGCTGCACTTCTGCACTTCTAAGTTCCGCCTTATGTGTTCCGTCAACATTATGTTATAAATTAAATATTTAGAAAACATCATCAAACATCATCCTCATAAACATCTAAAGTCTGACTACTTAAAATACTACTGTTTGAATAAGTTTGAAGTTACAGCTTAAATTAATTTGGTAGGATGTTCCATACATTTATATCAGTCTCTATAATTTTTACAGAAAATAACATTAAATTGATATATTACACTCAGCAAATACGTAGGAATTATGCACCAAAATTGGCAGAAAAATGCCATGTTTATGAGTGTTCACTGAATTTATTTCCACATAGAAAATCAACAAAACACATAATTTAACAAGGGGTCCTCAAATGTTTGCATTTGACTGTAAATTAGTAAATCTAAAAATGTTCTCTGTAATGATGTTCTGGTGTTTGTGGAGTCCTTTCAGATATGAAGAGCTGAATGGTGTCTGTCTGTGATGTGTGTTGTTTGAGTGAAAAGAGCTGTGAGTTCAGAGTTTGATACAGTGTGTTTGAGATGGTCATCTGTGTTTATCTGGACATTCAGTAAATCTTCAGTGAGTCGGGTCTAAAGGCTCTTTACCTGAAGATCAGTGTTTGTTAGAGCTGCAGGCTGTTTTGTTGCAGGAGATGTAGATGCAGATGTGAGTTTAGATCCTCAGAGATTCCTCTGTTTCTTTCTCTTATTATGGAGGGAATGTTGGATGGATGGATGTTCATATTTGTTTATTTGTTAAAGCTTTTTTCTTTAACGTTTCCCTCGTCATCATACACTCAGACAGCTGGATGCAGAGTCTGTGACTGGTATTCATTAAGAGGTCATTCAGACTGACGAGTAAAATTGAAAGAAAGCACAAAGCCAGTTATGCAAGTGTTACCAGTTTTAATGCTTGTTTATAAACAAAACAAGCAAAATATTAATCATTCATAAACACTGAATAACATCACACAGATATTTGATAAAAATCCAAATACAAAGGCAAATTGAATATCAAATCATAACCATTAATTAATTTTCTTTATTTTGTAAATTATTATCATTATAATTTAAAATATACAGTATAAAGTGAGTTTCACACTGTAAAAAGTTTTATTTTTGATATGGTTTGTCTCTATTTTTGGTTTGTAAAAACCCCAAATGTGACAAAATACAAAATAATCTAAATCATCTGAATCTGAATCATCATTTCAGAATTAAAGGAGGAGAGGTTTCCTGGACCTGTACTGAAGAACTTAATGAGCTTAACTGAAGAAAAGAGAGCAGAGGAGGAAAAGCTGAAGAGAGCTGAGACTGAACTGGAGAACACAGCCGAACAAACACACAGTAAAAAACAAGAACTAAAAGAGAGAGAGACCATCAGAGAGATCAGTCTGGAGATCAGAGAGATGCAGGAAAGAAGAGTGAGAGAAAGAGTGGAGATGAGACAAAGAGAGGAAGAGGAGATCAGAGGAAAGATGAGAGCTGTTGTGGATGATTTGAGGAGCTCAGAGGAACCAGTTAGAAAGATAAAGGAGAGAATAAAACAGCATGAAAAACAAAAAGATGAATGTAAGCGAAAGTTATCAGAGGAGAGAAATGAGGAGAAGAGGAGAGAGCTGGAGAGAGAAGTGAAGAGAGAAGAAGAGCAGATGAAGGAGGCTGAAGAGGAGCTGAAGAGGATGCAGGAGGAGAGGAGGATGATGGTGAAGAAGCTCAGACTGGAGATGGAGATCAGAGAGAAGAGTGCAGTAAAAGCAGATACACACTTCATAAAGTCCATCCTGCCTGAGTTCCAGCAGAGTGTTCAGACTCTTATGAGCAAGAAACAGAAAGAGTTTGATAGAGAGATGAATGAAAAAGAGAGAGAGATAGAAACACTGAAACTAAACCTCTCAGAGATGGAGAAAGAAAAAGAAAAGCAACTAGAAGAGAGAAAAAGGACTTTAGAAGAGAAAAACAGACAACTTGAACAAAAATACACTGAATTAGAAGAACATACAAAAACAATAGAGAACAAAAATAAAACAATAGATGAGAAGAATGAACTGCTGAGAGAGAAAGAGACTCTACTGGAGATCACAGTGAAAGAGGAGGAAAGCAGTAAAAAGCAGCTGGAGACTCTGAGAAAGGAGCTGCAGGACAAGAGCAGCAAACTACAGGAGATGATGATCCTACTGGAACAACAGAAAACTGAAGTGAGTGAAAAAGACAAACAGCTTGAAGAGAAGGAGAGACTTCTAAGTGAGAGAAACACACAGCTAAAGGAAAGAGACAAGCAGGTTGAGGAGAAAGACAGACTTCTAGAGGAGAGAAACAAGCAGCTGCAGGAGAGAACAGATCCAGACTCAGCAGCTCCAGCCAGGAGGAGAAACAGCAAAGAGTTAGAGCCTCCACTCTGTAAGTAAATACTAAGGTTGCATAAAGTTAAAACATATATCACTATGAAACACGAACCACACACTGGAGGTGTTACTTTACAATGTATAAGTGTGCTTCAGAAAATGGATTTCAATCCAAATTTAAATAAAAAAAGTCAACTACTCTATGATGTGCACTTTTATTTATGATAACATCAACATTTTGTGATTAAATCAAAATATTAAACAGCAACAGTATAACCTGTATGTGTATTTCATGAACTATACTATCTACAAACAATATCTAATCTCCATTATGTCTGATTTGTCTGTTTCCTAGTCAGTGGAGAGACTCCAGACTCAGCAGCACCACTCAGGAGAAGAAACAGTAAAGAAGGACTTCATCCAGATAGTAAATAATTACACTTTCATATTTTTTTAATAAATATTCAGATAATTATATCTACATACAGTAACATCATTTCCTTATTCTTGTTGATTCACAGTGAGTGGAGAATCCACTAGTTCAGCCTGTCCAGAGTCAGTTCCTGTAGCAGAGCTCAGGCTGGTGCTGCTGGGGAGGACTGGATGTGGGAAGAGAGCAGCAGGAAACACCATCCTGGGCAGAGAGGAGAGGAGCCAGGCTGGAGCGTCTACAGTGAGGCAGCAGAGTGAGAGCAGACAGGGGGAGGTGGCTGGGAGGCAGGTGACTGTGGTGGACACTCCTGACTGGTTCGGTCCTGGACTCTCTCTGGAGGAGCTGAGACAGGACGTGGGACTCTGTGTCCGTCTGTCTGCCCCAGGACCCCATGCCTTCCTCCTAGTCATACCAGTGAAGCAGTCTACAGGAGAGGAGAGAGGCATGCTGGAGAAAATGGAGGAGATCTTTGGAGAGAGATGTTGGAGGAACACCATGATCCTTTTCACTGTTACTGATGAAGTCCAAGAGAAGAACATTGAAGAGTTTATCCAGTCAGGAAACCAGGAGGTGCAGAGACTTGTAGAGAAATGTGGGAACAGGTTTCACTGTCTCAGCATTAAGGAGAGTGGAGATGGTTCTCAAACCTCAGAGCTGCTAGAGAAGATAGAGAAGATGGTGAAAGGAAACAGAGAGAAATTCTACAGCAGTGAGATCTACCTGGAGACAGAATCTCAGATCAGAGCAATAGAGAGAAAAATCATGAAGGAAAGAGAAGAAAAGAAGCTACAAGAAGAAAGAGAAATGAAAGAAAAACTTCAAAAGGAGGTGCAGAACTCTTTGAGAAAGATAGAGAGAGCAGTACAAGAACATGAAGGAGAGATAAAACAATTGAATGACCGAACAACTGAGCTAGAGAGAAGAATGAAAGAAGAGAGGGATGAAGAGAAAAGGAGAGAACTGGAACGAGAGCTAGAAAGAGAGTTCGAGCGAAGAACAGAAATGGCGGAAAAGGTGAAGAGATTAAAAGAAGAGAGGAGAGAGATGGAGGAGAGACACAGACAGGAGATGGAGGAGATCAGGGAGACGTATGAAGGAGAAGCCAGAATGGAGGCAGAGAGGAACCTCATGAAGATCATCCTGCCTGAACTCCAGAGAAACATTTTGGCCTCAAAGTCAAAGATGAAGGAAGAGTTCAGCAGACAGATGGAGGAGAAGGATGGAGAGCTGGAGAAACTGAAACAAAGCCTCTCAGAGCTCAGAGAGACTCACTCACTTCTGGAGGAGGTTTATGAGAGAACTGTGAGGAGCAGCTCAGACTCAGAGAGAGCAGCTGCAGCAGCAGAAGGGGGGTCTAAGGGAATCTCTCAGAGGTTCAGGGATTGGTTTTAGTGATGTACTCAGAGGTTCATCCTTACAGAAAAGAGGTTCCTCAGTCAGCTGTGATGATCATGGAGAAACAGCATCAGGTGAAGAAGTACATAAAGACAGTTTAGAGGAATGTTAAAGTGGTTTTGCTCTAGAAAAGATTGTTTTGCTGAGGGACTTTATGAAGGAAGAGAAATAACATAGTGTTCTTTGATAACCTTCTGTGAAGGAGCTTTTAGAGACTACCACTGTGAACAATTCTGACTCTAGAACAGTGCATTTCACATCAGACAATTGATTAATGAATGATTGTCATCTTATTCTATCAGAATTTATGATTTATATCAAATCATTTGTAAACTTTGCAAATTATAAATGTATTAAAACAAACTAACATTTGAAATGTGAATTCTGTGTGAGTTTAAATAAAATCTAATGATACCATGTAAATTCACAAGTCATGATCTCCAGCAAGCTGGTTAAAAATGTTGGCTAATTTTTGTTAGTTAGCATTAGCTATAGTTAATAAATAATACATATACATACATTTATATAACAGTTAGTTCCAACCTGATTGGTTGAGAAGCGTTCTGTGTTATTTTTACAGTAACTGAGCGCCTGTTGCTAAGAAGCGACTGACATTATGCTGCAGCTGCATAACTGTTACTACGTTTCTCCTTTAGCACATACAAAATAAATAATGGACACTAGACTTGTGCTGGTATTCAGCAATTTAGTATATGTACCATGATATTAAACACGTCCAGTAATGTTATCATGGACACTTTGACATACCGGCACTGCTTTTTTGTCGCACCTGAGATTGTTACACCTGCAGATCAGCTCCTCTTCCCCACGCTCTGATTACATGATACTGTGATATTGTCTAGAGGTGGATCGATCCAAATATCAGTGGTGGAAGAAGTACACAAATCATGTACTTGAGTTAAAGTAGAGATTACTCCAGTAAAAGTAGAAGTCCTCCCGTTAGACCTCCACTTGAGTAAAAGTATTTGCCTTCAAATGTACTTAAATATCGAAAGTAAAAGTACTAAAAGATTTATTCTGGCTCTAATGTCCTATTATCATTTTTGTGTGAAAATACTGTCACTCTTGGTAAACCAATATTTTAATAGAATGTCATTAATTAGTCTGACTCTGATGTCTATTAAAGTTATAAGCACAAAACACTGAAGAGCTAGAACCAAGTGGCTCTGAAATAACTTTTTATGAACAAGCAAAGCTTCAGTTTAAAATTTATTTGCAACTTAGTTACAAGTTTAAGTTTAATAAAAACTTGCTTTAAACTCAGGTTCACAAATGAGTTTTCCTTTACTATATTGCTTCTGTAGGTCTATGTTCATAAATATAAACTTGCAAAAACAAATTTACTATAAAATGAAAGTGTTTGTATAAATTCAGAAAAAAAATGTCAGTCACAACTGCATATGTGTACATATTTCTATATTGCGGTATATTTACACAAAGTTTGGTTAGTTCCATCATTTATGTTGAATAGACTCTCCCAAAATTTTACAATGCTGCACTGACGTTGAAACGTGTGCTTGCACTGGGTTGGTATGTCCAACAGGTCAAAACAAGCTCAAAACAAAGTGCGCACTGTGCTGATTGGTGTTCTTGCTTCGCGATTCTTTCGTTTTTACATGTTACGTTTTTATACACACATAAGCCAAAGGGAACGACAGATTTTGCATAATGTAGTGGAGTAAAAAGTAAGATATTTGACTTTGAAATGTAGTGGAGTGAAAGTAAAAAGTTGCCCAAAAAGGACACAAAAAACTACTTAAGTACAGTAACGAATTACGTTTACTTCGTTACTGTCCACCACTGCCAAATATCAATAGTATCTGTACCAATGATGCTATTGGTATCTGATCGATACTAGCATGATGGGATCGATGCATCTCTCCTTTTTGTTCAATATGTTGCTCTCATTTCATCAAAAAGTAGACATGTCTGTGCCCAACACCGCTCCTTTCACATCTTGTGTGCACACTTTGCTCCTCCTCCTCCTCTCTGCTGTTCTGTTGTCATGCTGTTATGTGACTCAGTGGCGCTGAGGCTGCAGTGATTGAGAGCATAGCAGAGAGAAAGAGGAGCGTCGTGTGGAGATATTTTATGGCTGTAAATGAAAACCTTTCACACTGTGATGTGTGTAAGAAGACTATTCACTACTGTGGCAACACCACCATTTTATACAAACAATGAAAAACCATGAAAAAGAGAACTCCGAGCTGCAAAAGAAACAAAGAGAGGAGGAGAGAAATCCATCAGACAGGCCTAGACCCCCAACACAGAGACTGGCAGAGTCCTTTCAGAGAGGCAAAGATCATCCAGGTAGCTTATATAGTGGTATATTATATAATAGTTTCTGAGCAAAAACCTATAACTGAAAAAGAATTTAAGTTTTAAACCATTCATTTTTCATCAACTTTGCTGTCCTGGCTTTTAACATTGATGCACATGATTAACTACATAACACAAAATCACAAAAATACTTAGTTGTTCATGTAAATGTATTCAGATTTAGCAAATTAGTGATGGATACACCTCATAAATCATGACACACTGCTCTCCCCTACATGAAAGTATGTAAGCTGCTTTCATAAGTAAAAGTATAGGTATGAGAATTGGTATCGGCGATATTGGCCCTGTATTAACTTGGTATCGGATTGATACCAAATTTTGCAATATCACACACCACTGATATCGTCCCTCCAGAGCGGAGCTTGTAAACTGCCACAACCAGTGCAGAGCCACATGGCAGAAGGAGGAACAGACGGACACCTTGTTTTTTCACAAAAAGGTGAAAACTCACATCCCCCCCCAGCTTAGAGGAGGAAATATGCTCCATGTCACAAATACATGCATATTTGCTTTACAAATTGTGTATATGAAGTAAAAGTCATTAAAGAAGACTTAACTGAAAGGCTTAAATTTGAAAAATACTTAATATCTCGAACAAAGTAAAAAAAATAGCTGAATGTTTGGTTGAGTTTTATTTGTCCAAAGTCCTGAGCTGTGTAGTATTCAATCCACTGCTAAAAAAATTGCCCGCCATTAGCGTAAATTTCATATTCCCGCTTGTAGAAGTTAGCGTTGCTGTCACAGGAGCTTCTCGATAAACAGTGGCTGCTAATAAAGTACAGGTTTCTAGATTAAACACTGTTCTGTAATGACTGGTCCAGCATGCACATGATGGTTTATAGTGCAGTATATGCCATTATGTTGGTACAGTGTAGACACTAGCAGTCCCATGTGTTCTATGTTGCTGTGAATGCTTTACAGACTACCTGGAAATAAAACACATTCAGGTTTGTCTGTTAAATAGTGAAAAAACTAAGCTGAACCTGATATTGTGACAGTTTCATGCTCCGTCCAGGACTTTGATTGACCTTTTATTTTTCAGTATGTTCTACACTCTTGGTGTGTAGATGGAGATTCAAAGGTTCTTTAGTAAAGAAAATGGGTCTATATAGAGCCATGAACACTCAAAGTACCCTGTGCATGCTTAAAGCGTTCTTTGCATCATGAAAGCATTTTTCGGATTGATGGAAATGTGTGAATGTGCTGTAGACGGTTCTCTATCCAACTTTTTTGAGAAGCATTCCATATAGCACCCATAAAAATGATGCATCTTTGCTGTTTCATACATTCTATATAGAATCTTTTCATAAAAGGTTCTATATTGCACACAAAAGGGTTCTTATATTGTTCCAAGCTTGACACAGTAACAATACTAGAACCCTTTTTGCTGCAATATAGAACCATTCTCCAAAGGTTTCTATGTAGAACCATCCACACCAAAATCTCTATCAATCTGAAGAACCATTTTATGATGCAAAGATCCCTTAAATCCTGCATGGATGCTATATAGAACCATTATCAAAAAGGTTCTATATAGAACAGCAGAATCGCCTTCAATCTGAAGAATGTTTTCATGATGCAAAGGACATTTCCAGTTTGGCAGTCAATATATCTTTAAAATATCCTGTATTTTTTCTATGAAATAAAAAGGGGGGGGGCAATTCCAGTTTCATGTATTTTGACCATGGTAACTGTTGCGCTGTAATAAACTATGGTGAAAGCTGAGTGATACAGCTGGGTGACTGTTACAACCCAGTTCCCTAAGCAGTCATTGACAGAACTTCTGCTATAGAGCCGTGTCTGAGTAAGAGCTTGAATGTTAGTGTATGGCTTATTGGTGCTTTGTTGCCTTTTGTTGAGATTCTAGGTCAGCGTCCTGACCTGGACCGGGTCGTAACAATGATTTACTAAGTAATTTTGTAAACCGTGTCAGAAAATCAAACAGTAGTCTACCATGGTGAGTGAAGCTATGACAAACTATGGAAAAAGAGACCTGTGGCTACAGATAAAAGACCTGTGGCTTTAGACCAATATAACGCTAAACACACCCCTGGGCAGCTCCAGTTCTGGAGAGACAGAGACGGCTGCTATCAACATATGCCATACACTGTATTACCAAAAGTATTCGCTTGTCTACCTTCACGTGCATATAAAATTGAGTGAGATCCCATTCTTAATCCATGGGCCCACCCTTTGCAGCTATAACAGCTTCAACTCTTCTGGGAAGGCTTTCCACAAGGGTTAGGAGTGTGTTTATGGGAATTTTTGACCATTTTTCCAAAAGCGCATTTGTGAGGTCAGGCCCATTGGTGTTGGATGAGAAGGCCTGGCTCGCAGTCTCCGCTCTAATTCATCCCAAAGGTGTTCTATCCGGTTGAGGTCAGGACTCTATGCAAGCCAGTCAAGTTCTTCCACACCAAACTCGCTCATCCATGTCTTTATGGACCTTGCTTTGTGCACTGGTGCGCAGTCATGTTGGAACAGGAAGGGGCCGTCCCCAAACTATTCCCACAAATTTGGGAGCATGAAATTGTCCAAAATCTCTTGGTCTGCTGAAGCATTAAGAGTTCCTTTCACTGGAAGTAACCAGCCGAGCCCAACTCCGTAAAAACAACCCCACACCATAACCCCCCCTCCACCAAACTTTACACCTGGCACAATGCAGTCAGACAGGTACCGTTCTCCTGGCAACTGCCAAACCCAGACTTATCCATCAGATTGGCAGATGGAGAAGCGTGATTGGTCACACCAGAGAACACGTCTCCACTGCAGACAGAGAAGCATGATTCTTCACTCCAGAGAACACGTTTC